GTGGACGGCTATGTCTCGGTAGGTTTGCAGTTGTGCCATACTCTTTCCATTTTCGGATGATGGATTGAACAGTGCTCCATGAGATGTTCAAAGCTTGGGATACTTTTTTTCAAATAACCTAACCCTGCTTTAAACTCCTCCACAACTTTATCCCTAACCTGTCTGGTGTGTTCCTTGGCCTTCATGATGCTGTTTGTTCACTAATGTTCTCTAACAAACCTCTGTGGGCTTCACAGAACAGCTGTATTTATACTGAGATTAAATTAAATTATACACAGGTGGACTCTATTTACTAATTAGACTTCTGAAGGCAATTGGTTCCATTAGATTTTAGTTAGGGGTATCAGAGTAAAGGGAGCTGAATACAAATACACACCACAGGTTTCAAATATTTATTTGTAAACAATTTTACAATGGAAATGGTTTAGATCAAAGATCAAATGGCCCAATCAAAGTCCAGACCTAAATCCAACTGAGAATCTGTGGCAAGACTTGAACATGCAGTTTACAGACGCTCTCTATGCAGTCTGCCAGAGCTGGAGCTATTTTGAATTTGTCAAAAATTTCACTCTCTAGATGTGCAAAGCTGGTAGAGACATACCAAAAAAGACTTGCAGCTGTAATTGCAGTGAAAGGTGGTTCTACAAAGTATTGACTCAGGAGGGCTGAATACAAATGCATGCCACACTTTTCACATATTTGTTTGCAAAACATTTTGAAAAGCATTTATCATTTTCCTTACACAATTATGTGCCACTTTGTGTTGGTCTATCACATAAAATCCCAATAAAATACATTTACGTTTTTGGTTGTAACATGACAAAATGTGGAAAATTTCAAGCGGTATGAATACTTTTTCAAGGCACTGTAAGTAATACAAGTGACCTGAACAGTGTCTGAGGATTAAAAGGCTGCCTGATATATTGAGGCAGCCACAAGTAATGTACATGCGAATATATTTTACAGAACTGAAAGGTGACACTGCCACAAATTAGACTACAGATGTTTTTACTGATGACAATCCAGTTTTACTATCAGGTCCAGTTTGAGTCAAAAAGCGGATCCTGGGCAGTACTTAAAATGATATCCCCTGTGTTAGTATATCTGACAGCCTACGGCTCAGTTTACAAGTCAAAGCACAAGGATAAGAATTCTTATTTTCAAAAGCTGACCGTTCTTTTCAGCTGATTCCAATGAAAATTGACAATTATGTTCGCGTGGCCGAAAATGAGAATCCTTATGTTAAGCACAAATTAGTATAGAGCAGGGCCCTCTGTTTCCTCTTGTACCAAATTGTATTGTAACTGTAATGTCTGCCTTCATTTTGTAAAGCTCTGCGCAAACTGTTGGCACTATATAAATCCTGTATAATAATAATAATAGTGCGATTTAATTGGTAAATTCAGTACTGTTGTACTAAAGCCAGAGTGTTTTAGGAGGTGCTGCTTAGTCGATGACAATACTGTCTCAGTAGGCTATAGCACACTACAATCCATTTTAGAGGGTTATATTTTAAAATACTTTTTTATTTATTATCACTTGAAAATTAGGGTTAGCTGATACTGTTTGTTCATAAAAGGCACTGAAGATTTAGCAGCTAAGTGGAATAAGTAAAAACTGCAAGAAATCAAGGCTATGGTTAAAGGTCAGCATTATGGGTTAGTTTTACTGTAAGTTAGTGATGTAGGGTAGGGGGCTGTTCAATCATTCCAAGTCATAGGTCTGTCTAAATTACCTCTGAAGCATTTTCATTTACCTTGACTTCAAATTAAAAAATGCCAGAAATGCACTGTAGAAACAGCATACACAAGTATATAAAAACAAAGTATGTTATTTCAGTTTCTTCTTCCTACAAGTCATGCCTTCCCAATAAAGAGATTAATAGACTATAAGTAAAACTAAAGTAACAATCACCAAATTCATATTGGTAAAGATTTGTATTTTTCAGAAACTAGTAGTAAATACCTACTAATAGTGTTTCAGATAGTTTTCAAGATGATATGATATGACTGAACCAATAAAACAAACTTACTGTTTCTGCTATAACCTGAAGATGTCAAAGAGGGAACACACTGACACATCTGATAGAAATACTAAGTCATTTTTCCTTTCCTGGGGCAAATATTTGTTTAAAACATTTTACCTGTAATAATCTGCTGAAAGCCACTAAATGTTGTGCTACAAACCTTCCCATGTCCTTCAAGAAATATACCTTTACTACAGTATATAGTGACTAGTTTTTCCTTCTAAAAATAAATGTGGTTGTTTTTTATGTGGCTGTTTAAGTGTTAGAAACGCACATTCATTTTCAACAATAAAAACTTTTACTGCCTGAATTATTTCACCCCCTATCACACCCAAAAAGTCAACTTTTAGCATAGATTATATAAAGTTACAGACTCATAACCTTGCCCTAACCCTTAAATTGAGCTTAATCCTTCCTTGCACCTAAACCTCAGGTTGCGTTTGCACTAATATAACATAAACATTTTATGAAACACCAAACTCAATCTATGCAATCAAAGTTTTGCCATCTATATACAGTGCATGAAATTATAGTATGCAAAGAGATCTTTAGATTTTTGAAACCTAGGAAAGATTCTTGGGAATACATATGCAATAAACTCCCATACCTCTTATTGTCTTGTTTTTTTTTTCTTAGACATGCAAGGTATAATCTGCTTGACAAAATACCTTTTTATTTATTCCTCATTTTCTATGATCTTGAGTGTATGTATATTTACACTTAAAAACAAAATTGCCATCTCCCTGTGCCTCTGTGGGTTTCCTCTGGATAGTCGAAAGATATGCTGGTAGGTTAATTAGATCATGTCTAAATTGGCCCTAGTATGTATGAATGTAAGTTAGGGAGCTTAGATTGTACGCCCTTTGAGGGTTAGGGACTGATATGTATGTACAATATATATGTAAAGCGCTGTGTACGTTGACGGCGCTATCTAAGTACTTAAAATAAATAAAAATAAATCTTTTGATCTAACAAAGTCTATTCCTCTCATTTTCTCTCTCTACCTCTCTAAAAAGATAATGCTTTCCATGCATGGTTTTAAGGGGGCATAAGTACACTGAAATAACAACGAAATTGATTTATATTATCATGCTACAATAAAAAAAACTTTCCACTTACACAGATTTATATAGCTGAATGTCTTCCAAATCCAACTGCTGTCGTCTTCTTCTGTATTATCTTATACAGGTGTTAAAACGTGGAACTCTTTGATGTTTTACTAAATGTATAGCCGTACATTTATAGAGACATGAAAAGGGAGAGCTTAGGATAAGGATGTCAAAATATATATAGTATACTTCCTGTCCTTTCTACGTGTAAAAAACAAAGTTGATATAGCTAGGTAACCACATGCTAGCAAATACTTTTGAAGATTTAGGGCACCTGTCATAGGGCATGCAAACAAATTAAGTTTTAAGATGCAAAACAGGCATTGTGGTATTCCATTTGTTGGAAAATATTTTTCATTCCTTCCATTGACCTGATTTGCTTTTGCAGCCCTTGCTCCACAGTAATTTTTTGCATAAGGAAATTATCTCTACTTTTCTATCCCACTACTTATAATTTTTCCGATAAAAATGTGTTTGAAATTCAAATGATCAGGCAGGCATTCCGTAACGGAAACAAAACAACCTAAAACTAAACAAAAAGAAGCATTTTTTTTAACAATAAATGTATATCATTTAATAAAATCAAAGACATTGCACAGAATAAAGTGAAAACATACAAATCACTTGAAATTAATTTAATTCCCCATTCCTCTTAGATTGTAAACTCTAATGAGCCGGGCCCTCTGTTTCCTCTTGTACCAAATTGTATTGCAACTGTGATGTCTAACTTCAATTTGTAAAGCGCTGTGCAAACTGTTGGCGCTATATAAATCCTGTATAATAATAATATATACTGGACAGACAAGACATGACAATTAAGTGAAGTCTGTGTATGCAGATATTTACTGTTCTGGGTTCTGAACTGATTTTTTTCCTGATTTGTCACTTAAATTATTTTAAAACCTAGATATTACTTTGTAAAAGTAGTGGTGGCTCATTACTGTGCTGTACAGTACATAGACTGTTCAGGAAGCAGAGCTCTGGGAAGAACCCAGCAGATCCCAACCACTATAGTACAGGCTGCCTGCAGAAAACTACAGGAGGTGGCAGAGAGAAGACCAGTCACTCTGCACAAGTAGAGAGAGCAACAGTGACTGGTCGTTATTACAGGAAGCTCTGCACAGAGGCAAAGGTTTACACCAGATCACTGTACAAAGCACATCAAATATCAAGATTGCACACACCGCTTGTATTTAGACACTATCTGCTTATCTTGGAGTTCAGCTTAAATCTGATGTTAAGGTATAAATTTTATTGCAAGTTACCTTGCTCCAGCTTGGACTAATGTAAGTATGTATATTTCATACATGAGCGATCACTATGAAAGCTTTTAGTAACTGCTAATACAGAGATAGCGGTGATTACTTTTGTAGCAAGGGTGCAAAAGTGTGGCCATCCAGTAGTATCTTTGTTTAATGCTGAGGCTGTGTCTCTCATTCTACAGAGCCATAAGTAGGTAGCTTGCCATGAACACCAAGACAACATTCTCAATGGTTAAGTGAAAATATTTTGTGCTGCCATTATCCTAATAAAAAAAAAGCAAGTGAAATGCATTTAGTGTGAACTGGCCCTCAGTCAGTGTGTTTTGGCACAGAAAAATGTAGGTGCATTTCAACATGCTGGACAAATGAGAAAATTGCCAGAAGTGTGCCAAAAGGGACACAGTTTACATTACCTTTCCACACAAATGGTAAAAGGAAATGCCTTCAGGTGATGTCAGGAATGGACTGGCCAGCAATGGTGGGACTCACCTGCCTTTTGATCTGCAGTACCAGGGCTGGCCAGCGGGTGCTCCCAGCAATCAGAGACTCAACCTTTCAGCCAGCTAACACCTGGAACTGATGATACTGGTGTATTTAAGGGATGGCCAGACTTGCAGACTCTGCCTTGGTGTTGTGTTTGTCCTGGGCCCTGTATCTGTCCTGCATCTGTCCTGCATCCTGTTTCTGTTCCTTTGCTGACCCTGCCTGATCTGAACCGCTGCTGACTTCTCCTGCTCTGATCCCGGCTCGCTCCTGACCATCCCTCTGCCTGACCCTCTGTACCACGCTGCTTGCTACCTGTTCTGATCCCTGGCTTGTGACCCTGACCATCCCTCTGCCTGACCCTCTGTACTACGCTGCTAGCTACCTGCTGAACCTGGCCTGTGACCCCGACCCATCTCCGCTTGCTCCCCCTGTACCTACCTGCCCTATTGATATTGACCCGGCCTGCCTGACGACGCTTGTTTGTATGTACTGTTATCTGTGGGTGGTTGGTTTGGTTTGTTTGCACTGTATTATGTTTTAGTATTGCACTACGTTTATGTTTGTATGGTTAGTGTTAATAAATTATATTGTTTATCACATATCTGAAGTCTGCGTTTCCCTGCGTCAGTCACACACCTCTGGTCACACCTGGGAGCCCTGACATTACACCAAGGCCAATCCTGACCAGAAGTGGCTGCACAGGGAAGCCATCTTGGCTTGTTGCTGGGAAGGATGGATCTGGATGAGGTTGTGTATTTATATCTGCTAGTGTTTGATGACAGAGAGTATGCTTATCAGACTCTGAAGGAGTATCCCCGGGATGAACTGCTAGAATGTATACGGATCGCTCATGTTCTAGTAGATCAGGGCACAGATTTCTCTATGGTGCAGCCATTGATTAAGGTTTGTGTTGAGTTGGTTTCATCTGGTTTCCCCGAATGCAGGGATGAATTTTTGCCACCATTTAGTGCAGACCAGGTAGAGTCCCTGGTATGGTTATTATTAGGAGGATGATGTGGGTTACTTTCTGGAACGTTATTCCACATGTTCACCACAGACACTAAGAGATTGTATAAACGCAGTGCAGTCTTTGGTCAGACAGGCTTTGTGTAAGCTCAGCTTTGTTCAACCCATACTGCAGACATGGACAGACTTGTTGCACCCAGCCTCAGTCAGCTTACAAAGACCCAGTCCTGCTTCTAATCTATTTCCTCAAAGCTCTACTCCTGTATTCCCAACAACTCCCCCCAGTTACAGCCCAGTATACTTGGCTATCTACCGCATGTCAGTACCCTGTTCCCACTCGCTGCACCTATCCTGCCTTTAACCCTGTAAAAAAGCCCTCTGTAGCAACTGCTCCCTCTTCTGTTCCATCCTCCAGTTCTTCTCTGTCTCCAGCTGCTCCATTCGTTTGCAGACCTGCGTTTACTTGCAGTGCTCCAGTAGTTAAACCAGAAAAAAGCGAAAATTCTTTCCAACCAATACCATCCTGCCAGTATCCAAACCGGTGAACCTGCCTTCCGTGGTTCAGCCTGAATCCTCTACTCAGCCTGAAGCCTCTACTCAGCCTGATGCCTGTACTCAGCCTGATGCCTGTACGCAGCCTGATGCCTCTCTTCTGCCTGAAGCCTCTACTCGGCCTGATGCCTCTACTCGGCCTGATGCCTCTACTCGGCCTGGAGCTACTCGGCCTGAGCCTCTACTCGGCCTGAAGCCTCTACTCGGCCTGAAGCCTCTACTCGCCTGAAGCCTCTACTCAGGCCTGAAGCCTCTACTCAGCCTGAAGCCTCTACTCAGCATGATGAACTGACGCCGGGATTCAGCCTGATGCCTCTATGCCCCTGCATGATGAACTGATCCAGCCTGACGATCCTATTAGGCCAGTTGACTCGATGCCCCCGCTGTTGATCCAGATGATCCGGTACCTGATCCGGTGCCCGTCGATCGTGATGCCAATTGACTCAGAGCCCGCTGTCGTACCTGGTGACCCGATGCCCCCGCTGTCGAGCCAGACGATCCAATGCCTGGTGACCCGGTGCCCACTGTCGTGCCTGTTGACTCGGAGCCCACTGCCTTGCCAGATGACGCGGTGCCCACTGTCGAGCCAAATGACCTGATGACCCGATGCCTGGTGACTGACCCAGTGCCCGCGGTCATACCAGTGCCCGCTGTCGGTGCCCGCCGCTTGCCTGGTGACCCGATGCCCGCTGTCGAGCCAGACAATCCGGTACCTGATGACCCGGTGCCCACTGTCGTGCCTGTTGACTCGGAGCCCACTGCCTTGCCAGATGACGCGGTGCTCGCTGTCGAGCCAAATGACTTGATGCCTGGTGACCCGATGCCCGCCGCCCGCTGTCCAGTCAGACGATCCAATGTTTGACCCAGTGCCCGCGGTCATACCAGTTGACTCGGAGCCCACTGTCGTGCCTGGTGACTCGGTGCCCGCCGCTTCGCCTGGGGGCCCGAGACCTGCCGCTCCGCCTGGGGGCCCGAGCCTGTCGCTCCGCCTGGGGGTCCGGCGCCCGCCGCCCGCCTGGGGGCCCGAGACCTGTCGCTCCGCCTGGGGGCCGGCGAGACCGTCGCTCCGCCTGAGGGCCCGAGACCTGTCGCTCCGCCTGGGGGTCCGGCGCCCGCCGCTCCGCCTGAGGGCCCGAGACCTGTCGCTCCGCCTGGGGGTCCGGCGCGCCCGCCGCTCCGCCTGAGGGCCCGAGACCTGTCGCTCCGCCTGGGGGTCCGGCGCCCGCCGCTCCGCCTGAGGGCCCGAGACCTGTCGCTCCACCTGGGGGGTCCCGCCGCTCCGCCTGAGGGCCCGAGACCTGTCGCTCCACCGCCTGGGGCCGCTCCGCCTGAGGGCCCGAGACCTGTCGCTCCACCTGGGGGTCCGGCGCCCGCCGCTCCGCCTCCGCCCGAGAGGGCCCGAGACCTGTCGCGCCCGCCCACCTGGGGGTCCGGACCTGTCGCCCGCCGCTCCGCCTGAGGGCTTGAGACCTGTCGCTCCATCTGGGGGTCCGGCGCCCGCCGCTCCGCCCGCCTGGGGGCCCGATGCCTGTCGCCCGCCTGGGGGGGGGCCCGACCTGTCGCCCGGGGGTCCCCGCGCCGCCCGCCCGGGGGCCCGATGCCTGTCGCCCCGCCCGGGGGCCCGATGCCCGTCGCCCCCGCCGGGGGCCCGATGCCGGTCGCCACCGCCCGGGGGCCCGATGCCTGTCGCCCCGCCCCGGGCCCGCCCGTGCCGCTCCGCCCGGGGGCCCGATGCCTGTCCGCTCCGCCCGGGGGCCCGATGCCTGCCGCCCCGCCCGGGGGCCGGTGCCTGTCGCCCCGCCCGGGGGCCCGGTGCCTGTCGCCCCCGCCCGGGGGCCCGGAGTCCTGCCCGATGTGCCTCTGCCCGGAGTCCAGCCCGATGTGCCTCTGCCCGGAGTCCAGCCCGATGTGCCTCTGCCCGGAGTTTAGCCCGATGTGCCTCTGCCCGATGTGCCTCTGCCCGATGTGCCTCTGCCTCTGCCCGAGTCCAGCCCGATGTGCCTCTGCCCGGAGTCCAGCCCGATGTGCCTCTGCCCGGAGTCCAGCCCGATGTGCCTCTGCCCGGAGTCCGCCCGATGTGCCCTGCCCGGTGTGCCTCTGCCCGGAGTCCAGCCCGGCCCGGTGTGCCGCTGCCCGGAGTCCTGCCCGGTGTGCCAGTCTTTGATATCCCGCCAGTTACCAGACCCGGGCGGTGGAACATTTTGCCCAGCTAGGACTGTTTGGAGCGTCCTGAGGCCGCTCCTTGAGGGGGGGGGGGTACTGTCAGGAATGGACTGGCCAGCAATGGTGGGACTCACCTGCCTTTTGATCTGCAGTACCAGGGCTGGCCAGCGGGTGCTCCCAGCAATCAGAGACTCAACCTTGCAGCCAGCTAACACCTGGAACTGATGATACTGGTGTATTTAAGGGATGGCCAGACTTGCAGACTCTGCCTTGGTGTTGTGTTTGTCCTGGGCCCTGTATCTGTCCTGCATCCTGTTTCTGTTCCTTTGCTGACCCTGCCTGATCTGAACCGCTGCTGACTTCTCCTGCTCTGATCCCGGCTCGCTCCTGACCATCCCTCTGCCTGACCCTCTGTACCACGCTGCTTGCTACCTGTTCTGATCCCTGGCTTGTGACCCTGACCATCCCTCTGCCTGACCCTCTGTACTACGCTGCTAGCTACCTGCTGAACCTGGCCTGTGACCCCGACCCATCTCCGCTTGCTCCCCCTGTACCTACCTGCCCTATTGATATTGACCCGGCCTGCCTGACGACGCTTGCTTGTATGTACTGTTATCTGTGGGTGGTTGGTTTGGTTTGTTTGCACTGTATTATGTTTTAGTATTGCACTGCGTTTATGTTTGTATGGTTAGTGTTAATAAATTATATTGTTTATCACATATCTGAAGTCTGCGTTTCCCTGCGTCAGTCACACACCTCTGGTCACACCTGGGAGCCCTGACAGGTGATTTCAAATTAAGGCTCCAGAACAGAGATTTTCATGTAACACCAGCCAAACTATTGGCATAGGTCCTCTCCAGCCATCTACAACTCATGCACCTTGAAATATATTATGGTCTTTCAACAATCTCGTTCTCTGTAACATATTCAGTATCTTAGAGGTGAAGTTGCACTCTAACATTTGGAAATCTTCACACGGATGAACTTCTTTTTTAGCAGCAATTTGCTGATGGGGTATTTTTTATGGATGTCCTCACCAAAGATGGTAATGGGAAAATGTGCCTGGTGGAAACAGAGCCCTGGCTTCATATAATAGATTGTCAGTGTCACCTGGTTCTTCTAGATCTCCTTGCAAACTTTGAAGATTTGTGTAATCAACAATCTGTGACTATTCTTGGGGATGAATGGTTCTTTTGTTTTTTGCAAAAACAGTGGAAATAGCTTATGTGTACAGTAAAGGAAATAAGTATTTGATCCTCTGCTGATTTTGAATGTTTGCCCACTCACAAAGAAATGATCAGTCTAAAAATCGAATGGTAGGTGTATTGTAACACTGAGAGACAGAATGGCAACAACAAATTCAATAGAAATGCATGTCTAACAAATTATGCACTGATTTGCATGTTCATGAGGGAAATAAATATTTGATCCCCGGCACAAAACATGACTTAGTACTTGTTGGCGAATCCCTTGTTGGCAATCATAGAGGTCATACGTTTCCTGTAGTTGACCACCAGGTTTGCACACATCTCAGGAGGGATTTGGCCCACTCCTCTTGGCAGATCCTCTCCAAGTCATTAAGGTTTGGTGGCTGACGTTTGGCAACTCAAACTTTCAGCTCCCTCCACAGATTTATAATCAAATTAAGGTGTGGAGACTGGCTAGGCCACTTCAGGACCTTAATGTGCTTCTTCTTGAGCCACTCCTTTGTTGCCTTGGCCGTGTGTTTTGGGTCATTGTCATGCTGGAACACCCATTCACGACCCATTTTCAATACTCTGGCTGAGGGAAGAAGGTTCTCACCCAAGATTTGATGGTACATTGCCCCGCCCATCGTCCCTATGATGCGGTGCAGTTGATATGTCCCCTTAGCAGAAAAACCCCCAAAGCAGAATGTTTCCACCACCATGTTTGATAGTTGGGATGGTGTTCTTGGGGTCATAAGCAGCATTCCTCCTTCTCCAAACACGGCGAGTTGAGTTGATGCTAAAGAGCTCGATTTTGGTCTCATCTGACCACAACACTTTCAACCAGTCCTCCTCTGCATCATTCAGATGTTCAGTGGCACACTTCAGACGGGCCAGGACATGTGCTTTCTGCAAGATTTCAATCCTTGTCGGCGTAGTGTGTTACCAATTGTTTTCTTGGTGACTGTGGTCCCAGCTGCCTGAAGATCATTGACAAGATCCTCAGGTGTAGTTCTGGGATGATTCCTCACTGTTCTCATGATCATTGACACTCCACGAGGTGAGTGGTGCACCAGACCTAGGGAGACTGACAGTTGTTTTGTGTTTCTTCCATTTGCGAATGATTGCACCAACTGTTGTCACCTTCTCACCAAGCTGCTTGGTGATAGTTTGATAGCACAGTCCAGCCTTGTGTAGGTCTACAGTCTTGTCCCTGACATCCTTGGACAGCTCTTTGGTCTTTGCCATGGTGGAGAGTTTGGAATCTGATTGTTTGATTGCTCCTGTGGACAGGTGTCCTTTATACAGGTAACAAAATGAAATTAGCAGCACTCCCTTTAAGAGACTGCTTCTAATCTCAGCTTGTTACCTGTATGAAAGACACCTGGTAGCCAGAAATCCTGCTGAAGGATAGGAGATCAAATACTTATTTCCCTCATGAACATGCAAATCAGTGCATACTTTTTTAGACATGCATTTCTTTTGAATTTTTTGTTGCTATTCTGTCTCTCAGTGTTACAATACACCTACCATTCGATTTTTAGACTGACCATTTCTTTGTGAGTGGGCAAACATTCAAAATCAGCAGGGGATCAAATAGTTATTTCCTTCACTGTAGTACTAATTGCATTTCTATTTGTGGTGCTTTGTTTGCCACTCTTGATATACATTTTTTTATATGCAGGGAGCCCTGGTTTTGACTCTGTGGCCAATAATCTCTGTTAAATTAGTTGTTTAATGAAGCATGCTACACTGCAGCTGGTATAAGGTACAAAATTTTAATTTATGTTTAAACACAGATTCATGAAAATACGAATAAATGAACAAAACCTGAAAAATAAAAACTTAATAATGCAGCGTCTAAAGTTGACACACACTGAGGAATGCAAACGGCCCGCTGGTATTGTGAAATAACTACAGAAAAATGTCAGAGAGACATAACAGTTCTTATGTTCCACATATATATTTTGGTAGGTAAAACAAGATATGTAGAATAAAACGGAAAATTTCCTATCAAATACTTACCATTATTTTCCTTTCCTGATGGACTTCATGGCATATGTATGGGTTAGTCTTGTCCGCTCCTCTCCTCTCGGACCCCACTCCCATAAATCTTTGCTACTCGCCAGAGGCTGTGTTCCATAACTAGCCTACTCATGGAGGGTACTCTTGCTGCCATGGAGTCCATCAGGAAAGGAAAATTACTGTAAGTATTTGAAAGGAAAGTTTCTCTTTTCCTGACAGACTCCATGGCAGCATACATATGGGAAATAACTAGCTGTACACACATGGGTGGGCAGTTACTCAAACAAAGACTTGAATTTTCCCCATCAACCGACAGGAATTTCAAACCAAAATTAACAGAGAATAAGGAAGCAGGCTCTACACAGTAATGAGCCATAAAAGTGTTGATTGGGGACCATGAGGCCACTCTGCAGATCATCTCAGGGGCGACATGTCAGGAAACCCAGGACATAGACACACTTCTGGTTGAGTGTGCGGTCACCACCTTCAAAGGCGCCAAGCCCTTAGCTCTGTAGGCCATTTGAATGGCCTGGACAATCCAGGCTGTGATTGACCTAGCAGAAGCCCAGTCTCCTGTTGACCAAACAGATAGTACAACATTAAAACACACAACATGATACAGTAGGATACCCAATCTACAGCAGAATGAAATGGAGACAATAGATAAACACTGTTCATCCATATAATGCAGTCTCAAAAAAGGAATAACAAATCCGAATAGGATGTCACACATGAGTATAGTATAAAAACACATACAACAACCAAAAGCAATGGAGGGGGGGGAGAGGTAGGGGAAAAGAAATGGGATGGGGAGGGGGCAAGAAGAGGGAAAAGAAAAAAAGGGGAGAGAGGAGGGAACATAGGGGAAGAGGAGAAAGGGCACTACCCAGAGAACCATGGAGCCCACACCTTTTCAAACTTCCAAGGACAACCCCGAATAATGTAAGTAAGTTTATACATGGGTGAAGTGGCATCCACCTGTGCCTCCCAAGCCGATAACTCCAGAGGAGCCGGGGAGGTCCATTTCAACAAGATCTCTTTTTTAGCGTAAAACAGAAAGTAAGATATAAAAGCTTAGCGTGATGGGATCGCCGTTCATCTTCATGAATGCCCAACAGGGCCAGTTCCGACGAGAGAGGTAATGTCAAATGCAACCTGAGGTTAATCTTAGCAAAAATCTCAGACCAATAGGCCAGAATTATGGGGCATGACCAAAACATATGAAAAAAGGACCCCGGCTACACAGGACAACGGGGACAAACAGGGTCCCGGGCAGGGTAAATTTCATGAAGCCTCAGAGGGGTATAATAGACTCTATGAAGGAATTTGACCTGAATCATTTTATCTCTAGAAGAAATGACCAACTTAGGACCCTTTTCCAGACAGTCCTCTCTGTCGGAAAATCAACCCGCCAGCGGTCCCATACACACTCACACTTAGGAGAATTAACATTAAGAAGCACCCCATACAGAGCTGAGAGAGGCTTCACCAAATCAGGCAAAGTCACCAGTTCATCTACAGGGTCAGTCTAGAGGAGGGTAGGCGCCCGACCAAATTTAGCCCTCGCAGCATATTTCAAATGGAGGTATCTAAAGAACATATTCGGCGGCAGTCTAAAAGTAATGGAGAGCAGGGAAAAAGATAGAGAATCCCCCCTTGGCATAATGTCAGCCAAAGTCTTAACCCCAGATCGCATCCAGATTAGGAGGGTCAGGAACGGTACGGAAATGAGGAAGAGAAGGGTTTACCTCAGAGTGGCTGAGCCGGAGACCATTGACCAGGCGACATAAAACAACATTGGGCCACCACCCAAACCCTCCACGTAGTACACGTAGGCTCGAGCACCCTTTCAAATGCCCTCGGTCCCCTATACATAAAGTTATGTAGGTCCGATAGGAAGCCCAGGGAGGCCGGCTCCAAACACACCGCCGCGTTAGATCTAGATCCTTTGCTCCACCAATGAATGGATACCAATACCGCCGTCAAAAAAATATATTTGAAAATTGGGCAGTGCCAGCCTTCCTCACAGCCTAGGAGGAAGCCAAAACGTGGGCCTCGCCAGCTGAGGAAGGGAGCCATGCCAAATAAATGAACTAACACATCAACAAAAAAGGAAGGGGAAATCCAAACAGGACAATTCCGAAAGACAAAATTGAATAATTTTGAGGAGGTTAATACGGCCAAGTAAATTTAAGGGATGATCAGCCCAAGCAGAGCACTGCATTTTGAGTGACAAAAGAAGAGGATATACTGTATTTTTCGCTTCATAAGATGCACTTTTTTCCCCCAAAAAAGGGGGGGAAATGTCAGTGCATCTTATGGAGCGAATATGGAGAGGCTGGTCCGGTATTTCCGCCGCTGCCACTGTGTCCGAATACAGGGGCCGGCCGCTCAGCTCTTCCCTGCAGTAGGACCTTACCTGTTCCTCAGTCCAGCGCTGTACAGTCTTCCTGTGCCGGCATCTTTAGTGGGGGCACTCAGCTGTGACAGCCGGGTGCCCACTGTGCATGCGCAAGAAGTGCTGAGCTTTATGAATGGCCTGGCGTCTTCTGGGACACATGACAGGTCCCAGAAGACGCCAGGCCATTCACAAAGCGCAGCGTTTCTCGCGCATGCGCAATGGGCACCCGGCTGTCAGCCGGGTGCCCGCACTAAAGGGAGGACAACTCCGTGGAAGTGGGAGTGGGTACCTGTCAAATTCAGGTGCCCGCTCCCCCTCCCTCCCCAAAGGTCCGCAGTCTCTTGGTCATCTCCTGTACTGTCCACAGTCTCTGGTCATCTCCTGTACTGTCCGCAGTCTCTGGTCATCTCCTGTACTGTCCGCAGTCTCTGGTCATCCCCTGTACTGTCCGCAGTCTCTGGTCATCCCCTGTACTGTCCGCAGTCTCTGGTCATCCCCTGTACTGTCTGAAGTCTGGTCATCTCCAGTACTGTCCGCAGTCTCTGGTCATCCTGTACTGTCGCAGTCTCTGGTCATCTCCTGTACTGTGTCCGCAGTCTCTGGTCATCTCCTGTACTGTGTCCGCAGTCTCTGGTCATCTCCTGTGTCCGCAGTCTATATCCGCTGTGTCCGCAGTCTCTGGTCATTTTGACTGTTTCAGGTCATCTCCTGTACTATGTCTGCAGTCCATTGGTTCAGAATATTTTTTTTCTGGTTTTTCACCTCTAAAACCTAGGCGCGTCTTATGGTCAGGTGCGTCTTATGGAGTGAAAAATACGGTAGGTTATACCCAGAAAGATCCCTAGTCACCTGAATGCCAAGGTACCAAAGTTTGTCAATGCAACACATTGGCGAGGGACACGCAGAATCAGAGACATGGGCATCAAGAGGCAAAAGAAGTGACTTAGACCAGTTGATCCGAATACCGGAGAAAGATCCAAAGAGATCAAATATATGAAGTGCTGCCAAAAAAGACTGGCCAGAATCATTAAGATATAACAGGGCATCATCAGCATACAGGTATATTTTCTCTTCCAAGGGCACCAACTGCAACCCCCGAAGATTCCCTAAACACTTCCAAGGGCTCCAAGGGCAGGGCAAACAGGCCTGGAGATAATAGACAACCCTGACACGTGTCCTGGTGAAGCAGAAAGGATTCTGACAGTCTGTCATTAGTACGAACCCATGCCCTGGGTGATCTATATAACAAATGAAACCAATGCAGAACTTTCGAACCGAAACCGTAGCGCCGAAGGACCTACCAAAGGTAAGTCCACTCCACTGAATCAAATGCTTTTTCGGCGTCAAGAAAATGCAACGACAGTAGAACCAGAATCCATAAGGGATACTGAGAGGTTCAAGGAAAGGCGTCTAATATTAATGTCCATTCCCTTGCCCAGCATGAACTCTGTCTGATCCACATTAACTAAATCATCAGTTACCTTAGTCAGACATGTGGCAAGGATCTTCGCAAAAAATGTTTGCATCCACATTTAATAGGGAAATAGGATGATAGGAAGCACAATCCTGCAAGTCCTTACCAGGCTTAGGAATCAAGACAATAAGGGCTTCTTCCATACAAGTACAGCTTTAAGGTCTCACCCAAGTCCAAGGGGTAAACGTCATTGACTCCAGAGGCTCTAAACGTTGGCAGGACAATCTCCTGGTTTTCGTGGAAGACCAAGGTCACTTTAGGATTAGAACCTAGCTTAGGGATGAGGACCACTTGATCCCGCAAGAATGTCAAAAAACGGTTCTTTGCAGCCAAAGTTCCCGATTTCAGAGATTATTTTTGCTGATGTAACCGCCACCAGAAAGGCCGCCTTGATGGAGAGCTCCCTCACTATGAGCCAGCTGATTCTGGGACAACTCCAGAGAAGAAGACAAGGACAAGCGGGAGGTCCCATTTAGGGAACCTCAGTTTTCTCTAGGGCCTCAACCTTACCACCCCCTTGAAGAATTTCCGGACCAGAGAGTGGTCGGCCCATGATACTCCAGTGAAGGCCTGAGTGTAGGAATCCCAGGACATCCTATACTATAGGATCCGCCCACGGCCAAGATATAGTCCAAAAACTTAGACCAGACTCTTCCATAGACCCTGTTGGTACTTGGTCTCCTGGCATTTTTCAGGGCAGGGATGACCTGAACCGGACAGCCTAAGGCCTCCAGCCTCCCCCTCTCAAGAACCAGACCATTAGATGAAGCCAGCCTGGGCAAGGGTGAAGAATGGCCCTGTCAGGGATCTTGTTGCCGTGCAGCCGTGCGACGGATCCACTTGGGCCGTAGTGGTGCGAGTGCGCATGCGCATGCGGGAGCGCATGCACAGAAGCGCGGAAGTGCGCGCATGAACAGTAGCCTACACGTCACCGCTAGGCAGGCTATTTAAACCTGCAGAATAGTAAAATCAATGCCTTCTGGTCTACAACATCCCTGCACTTATTACCTGATTCTGTTGCCTGTATCCTGATCTGACCTGACTAAGAAAGAACTCCGCCTGCACCGACCTTGGCTATCCCTGACCATCAGCTTGCCTGCTCCCTTGTACTTGATCTGCTCGCTTGTTACTGACCTGGCTTGTCTGACTCTGCTGCATCTACTTACCTGTACCTGCACCTGGCTTGCATCCTGATGGCTGCCATACTTACCTACCGCTGCACCCACGGTCCTGCACCTGGCCTACATCCTAGTCACCGCCATACTTCCCTGCCGCTGCACCCACGGTTCTGCACCCAGCCTGCATCCTGGTCACCGCTATACCTACCTACCTGCTGCTGCACGCTCGGTCCTGTATCCTGCCTGCATCCTGGTCACAGCCATACCTTCTTGCTGCGCATCCCCGCTCCTGTGTCCAGTCCAGTCTGCATCCTGATTGCCGCCATACCGGCCTGCTGCTGCACCTACGCTCCTGTATCTGCACCTGACCAGCATCCGGATCTCCTGGGTCCCCAGCTGCCTGCTGCCAGCTCCAGATCTACCCGGCACTCATACCATTCCTGGCTTTGCGCCCTCTGTTCCCACTATTAGGGGCTCCAAGCGGGAGTCATAAGAGGACGCCATCTCTCCACATCAGGCTCCCCAACCAGGTACGTGACAGGCCCCTGTGACAGCAAGTCTGGCTTAAGAGGGATAGGAACTGGATCCCAAAAGCTAAGCTGTGCCAATAAGGAAAACCATTGTCTGCTTGGCCAGTATGGAATTACAGCCACTATCTCCACTACCTCCACTGCTTCTGCTCTGAGCCTCCGAACATACCGGAAAATGACAGTGACCGGGGGAAATACATAGACTGTGCAAAACCTCCACTGATTTGTCAGAGCATCCACCCCGAAGGCCAGGGCACAGCGATTCGTGGTGTAGTACATCTCCAGTTTGTTTTTGCATGGGGAGGAAAACAGGTCGACTTCTTGACTGATCCTGAGGTACAGTATACACTTGAAGACTTCCGTGTTGAGAAACCAATAGAGGAATATTAGAGACTGTGTGGGCTCCAACTGGCTCTTCTCCATGTTCAACAATTACCTGAACTCGAGAAGGGTCGAAATGACATGGGCTCTGTGCTTTAGCAGCTGTTCTCTGTCCTGGGATTGGTGCAGGCCAATGCCTCTGGTTCTGATCAGGGCCATGACCACAACAAGACTTTTGAAAACACACACACGGTGATGTCAAAAGCCCAAAGGGAAGACATATGAACTGGAAATGCCGTTGGCCCACAGCAAACCTCTGGAACCTCTGAAAATCTTTTGTAATGGGCACATGAAGCAGGCATTCTTCAGATCTATAGACAGGAGCCAGTTTCCTGGTTGAATTGCTTGTTGAATTGTGAACAGCGTCTCCATCTTGAATTTTGACTTCCTGATAAAGGTGTTTAAATGGGTAAGATCTATGACAGGCCTGCAAGCCCCATTTCTTTTCTGGACCAAAAAGAAGGACGAATACATGCCCTAAAATTCTTCGCCCTCCAGAACTGGCACAACAGCACCCTGTGCCAGTGGAGAGTCCACATAGCACAAGAGAATTTGCCTCCTTTCTATGGAATGTATAAGGGCCGCAGGGATAAACTTAAGATGAGGATGGCTCTTGAACGCCCAAGCATGCCCTGAAGATACAATGCTGATGGCCCAGAAGTCCCGGATTGATGCCGCCCATACATGCTGAAAATGGCGTGCCCCCACCTGGCCTGCCTGAGCAGGTCCACTCTCAAAAGGACATTGTAGCCTCCCGACCTCCAGAGGTCAAGCCCTTGGAGGACTTACGAAAAGATGACTGGCTTCTCCTCCAGGTTCTCTTGAATTTGCGGCCCGGCTTGCAGAGGCGCGCGTCCCTTGCTCGTTCTGAGCCTTGACTTCTGGGCTGAGCCCTCTTCTGGCCTAGCAGACACCCACCAGTAGCCCGGGCTGTAGCACTGTCCAGTTTGTTCCCAAACAAGGAGGAACCCTCAAAAGGAATCTTGCACCATGCCTGCTTAGAGGCTAGATTGGCCAACCAGGGCCGAAGCCACAACGCACATTTGGCTGTAACTGAGGACAGCATTACCCAAGCCAGAAGATGGGTAAGGTTGATTGAAGCCTTCCCCAGAAAGGCCAACCTCAGCTTCTGAATGACTGAATTCCTGGCCACCTCTTCCGGAACTCCTCTGAGAGCCACATCCACATCATCCGACCAAACTTCCATAGCTTTGGATAAGGCCGCTAGCTCGTTTGAGATCAGAATTGATTCTCCTTTCCAGGTTGTCTTTAAAGGACACTGAATCCTCGAGAGGAAGGGTAAGATGCTTAGCTAGCCTCATCAAGGCTGCATCCACTAGAGGGGCTTATTCTAAATATTTGATGTCTTCTGATTTGAACTGATAGAGCTTGGCTAACTTGTTCAGCATGGAGGTCCTCCTATCAACATTGCTCCACTCCTCAGTGAAAATTTTCCCAAGTGCCTCCAGTAACGGAAAGTTTGGACAGTCTTTTTTTAAAAGCTTAAAAATTTTCTGTCTTTAGGAGGAGACTTCACAGCTTCTTTTCACTTCAGGGCCGTGACACCAAGATGAAGTCGAAGCCCACACACGGATCCTCACTTTCCGCCTCACTGTCTGAAGCTCCAGCTGACAGGTGACTAGGCTGATAGGGTTCCAATCCCTCTTGGGGGTCTTTGGGAGGGGAGCACACCCCAACTAATGGGCTGCAGGCGTGACTAGTCCCTATTTCTTTCAAGGAATCTTGATCCACCTGCCTAACCAAAGCCTCTATCTGTTGGCTGGCGCTTTCTCTCTCGCCGGTTGCATAATGACTTGTCCTCAGGAACCTGAGTTTCGCATCCTTGGCACATTTTGCTACTGGAGCGTCTGGAGTGTCGCTTAACATGATGCCTGGAGGAGAAATGAGAACTTCTCTTAGGATGCCTGGAGCTGGAAGGAAACCTGTAGCATCCTGATCTAGAGGCAGAGTGATGGCATTGAGACCTAGAAGCACTTCTGTCATCATGTGCCGTATAATGAGGATCAGACCTAGAAGGGCTGAAAAACACAAAACATGGAATAGTTAAAAACCACAGAAAAGCGCCATTGGGGGATCAAGGGGATAAATCTGCCTGTCCATACCTACTGTGCAAAGGCTGGCCACAAGGAGGCAGTAACACATCCATGCCGGTTCATCTGTGAAGGCAACCAAGCTGAAAATGAAAACATGACATGCCACAAGTAGGATCTCAACAGACCACCAGGGGGAGCAGATACTGACCTT